GGCAGGGTGGAGGATGGGCCAGGTATCTTCTAGTGATATCACCATCCTGAGAAGGCTCTTCAAGTCTACACAGGGACTCACACCAAGACCTGGCAGGGCCCCTGACCTCTTCAAGTGCCTCCTTGGGCTCCTACCCTGGTAGCTTCACCTCCAGCAGAATTCCCTATTCTCTATCCTTTACCTGAGCTTGTCTCCTAAGCTCCAGGTCTGCAGTGACTTCCTGGATGGATTGCGAGCTCATAGGTGACAGGGGACACATCTTAGTAATTTAATAAGCACACAACCCAAGGCCTAGCATAGACTAGGGGCTCAATAGATTGATGACTGGAGAAACAAAGGGGAGGAGGGAGGGCAGGTGGGGAAGAAGGGAGGAAGGAAAGGAAGAGAAAAGAGATGGAAGATAGATCCCTAAAACCTTCCACTCGCATGCCTTCCTGTCACCTCTGCGCTATCCTCACAAACCTCTCCCGATTTCATTATTTCTCTTTAGGTGGCCCCAGTCTTGATCCTCAGTTATTTTGCTCACTAAGTCCTATTGATTATTTCTTCCTTGTCTGTCTGCTGTTTCTCCTGTCACTTGCTTTCTGTTCTCAGCGCTGTCCCTGACGTTTAAGCCCTTATCACAGCTTATCTGCTCTATTGCAGCAGCTTAGGGGATTGCATTTCTTCCTGCTTCTCCCTTCCTGTCTCCTCCACACTGTAGCCCCACAGAGAGGTAGTCCCCCCAACCCTTTGATCCAGGAACCTCATTCTAGAAATCTGTTCTAAGCAAGTCATTAGAGATGTGCACAGACTTTTATTCAGGGATGACCCTCATATTATATAGTAATAGTAAAAATTGGGGAAGATCTAAACTTTATTTGAAAACAGTAGGCCAAATAAAGTTTGGTTCACTATCTGATGGACTATTAAACCCTTGAAAAATTATTTTGAGAACTGTTTGATAGAGTGCAGCTATGTTATTGACATAATATGAGGTGGAAATATAGGATATAAAGCTTTGTATATACAATGAAGTTCCAATCTGTGAACAAATGTATATGCAGAAAAAATAAAATAGAAACCAAGTAAACTAAAATATCAATATGGGTTTTAGTAGGAGTGTGGGTTATTTTTTATAAGTTCTTGATACTTTTCTGTACTGTCTGTACTGTCTTCAGTAAGCATGTATATTTAATCAGAAACCATTGGCTAAATATACATCTTCAAGTTTTTAGTCTTTCTCAATACTTTCAGTCAAAGTTGTGCTTCCACTACTGCTTTATTCCTCTATGTTGAGGGACTCACAGCTGTACCCCACATCTCAGCCCACACCTTGCTCATGTGCCCCTACCTCCATGCACATTCTCCTTCAGGCTAACTGGCCCCCATGAGGTTTCCAAACCAGCTTTGTATTTTATGTCCCTGAACTTAACTCTCTAATAATTCAGAGAAACACACACACACACACACACACACACACACACACTAAGTGCGGGCATAGCAAGATATTGACAATTATTGGTGAGTGAAGATGAAGGCTGTGCATGCTCACAGCACTAATTTTGCAATTTTTCTGTAGTTGCACATTTGATAAGAAGTTGCAAGAAATAAAGGGGCAATATAATGTAGTGCTTGAAGTCATTGGCTCTGATATGAAATGAACTGCATTTAAATCCTAGTTGCATTGCCTATTAATTGGGCAGTTGTGACCTTAGGCAAGTTTCTTTCTTTCTTCATCAGTAAAATGAGGATAATGAAAATCAGAGTGCATTTATTTCCTACAATTGCCTAGAGGAATAATGAATGAATGTGTGGAAAGGGCTTAAAGAATAAAGCTGGCACACCCACAATCATTATCATCTACTAGTAGAGTGTTAAATATAGAAATCAAATTCTTAGCTTTAAAGTTATTCATAAATATCCTCTGCCTCCCTAAGCTATGCAATCTTGGATAACTAAGTAAAGTGCCATGGCTTTGATATCTTTTGCTTACGTGATTCTTTCTGCCACTGGCCCAGGAGCAGTGCCAGGCCTCCCTGGTATCTATATCTCAGGTCTTGGCACAGTGCCTGGCACAGAGCAGGCAGCCAGTAAATGCACAAAACTCAAAATTAGGAAAGTAAAGGCCCAAGCTGCACTTTAAAGAGTGTTCTTCTCATCAGCTTCAAGCTTGTGATTTTGCTGATGCAGTCGCTCTATTCCCATGGGCTTCCTGGAGATGAGGCATCACCTTGATAAATTAGCTGTGGATATAGGCATCCTGCAGTTGGCATGGAAATGCAATTTAATTTCCAATTAAGGCTGATTTCTGGGCCAAAGGATTTGCCTGCTTCACACTGGGAGCATTATTCTGGCCAGACCTATTGTTGTCAGGGGTGATGCTTCTTCATGGAGTGGACTCTCAAGGAAACTCATCCTTTTACCCTGAGATGATTCAAAGAGGCACAAATGTGGTCCCTTTGGGCAGGTACTTCTCTCCAGAACTGAGTTTACACAAGCATTGATAGTTTCAAGAAAGTTCAAAGCAAAGCCAGGAATGTAGGCTGTTTGTGCAGAAATTTTTAAGATGGAATACAACTCAAAATGGATGGAAAGGAATAACACAAGAGGGTCCTCAATCATGCTGATAAGCAAGAGAAGTGGAAGTTGCTCGTGAGAGAAAGGGGACCATAGGAAGGTCCCTGAGCTCAGAGAAGAATCTGTATGATCAGGAGGAGATTTGTTTGCTCAAAGAGAGATTGAACATCTGGGGAGCATCTTTTATGTTCCAGGCACAGTGTGGGGTGCTTCCCATTAGTTATTGCATCATATCATCACAAACTTCCTGCAAAATCAGTGATGCTGCATTCATCTTCCAACTGAGGAAATTAAGGCTCTGAGAATAAACTACCTGAAGTCATAGATAAGCCAGATTCAAGCTCTCATTTTTCAGAACATTCCTCTCTCCAAAAACAAATAAAAGGCATCATTTTGAGTTGTCAGAGTAAGGTCATATTAAACTAAAATTTACCCCAAAAATGTAAGAATGGGTCAAAAAAAAGTCTTTAAAACATGTGCTGAGAAAGTGAAAATAACTGATGTTGAGACATCCTGGCAGCAGAGGACCCGATGGAGGTGCAGGTAACCCCCACTTCTGTGTGGGTGTGTCCACCATTCCCATGGGTCTGAGATCTGAGACTGGAGAGGGCTGGTGCAGCTTGGCTAGGAGGCCCCCATGAGGTTAGGCACCCTCTGAGTCATCTGGCTGCACCAGATCAGTGAGGTTCTAGCCTATGGCTCAGGGAATTTCAACTCCAGGACTTGCAAAAAACCGACAGCTTATAAAACACACTTTCAAAAACACTTGCACATAAGATGTTGCTAGGAATACCACATAAGTGGCCAATAAAGTTAGAGAGATTAAATAGCAAGATATCCCACAACCCTACTCATATCATTGATAGGCTCAAAGCAATATGTAAATGAGCATGGTCACAACTCCTGGGCAAATCCTGGAGTGTATTATTAGTGGTTTAGGAACACTTGGAGAAGTAAGCAGGTGCCCCTGAGACAAGTGTGGGGCCCCTGAGAAAGACTTGCATCAGATTAGCTTCTCGTCGGTTCTCCCATTTGCAGATTGCTGTGGCCATGGCATGCTTGGGCTCCAGCTGGCATTGGATGGGCATGGCTGGGTGATCAGGGCATCAAGGCAAGATGTAGCTGACCACATGGATCCTTTCCATCATGATGGTGCCCATATCAGAATCTTTGCAGGGACTTTTGGGATATGAGCCACACCCCATATCTACTGCCTCTTCAGATCTGAGACTCCAGGGAGCCAGTTAAGAGCCTGAGTTTGTGGGAAGGTAGAGGGAGGTTCTCAGGAGGCTCTGCAGGCTCTCAGGACTGCCCTTGTTCTGCTTGGGAGCATTATTCTTTTTAGACATGGGCAGAGACTATGGGGCAGGAAGGCAGTGGATAGAGAGTAGAGCCTGAAGCCAAGATGCCCAGATCTGGATCCCTGTTCTCCTGTGTACTAAGTCTCTGGCCTGGGCCTGTGACTCAGCCTCTTCTACAAAGTGAAAACAGTAATAATAACCTCAAAGGATATTGTTAGGATTAAATGAGTTTTGCATGTGAAAGCTGAACTCAAATCCTAGTCAACAGGTGCCTGACAAATGTTAACTCTTATTAAGGATGACAGATTCTTGTGCAGGGATAAGTAACTCCCCAAATAGAAGCCAAAATAGAAGAATAACAGTGAGTTATTTATCAAAGGAGATGCTGACACAGAGTGTCAGTAAAGAGGAATGTTGTAGTCAGGGAAGCATCAGCTGATCTTTAAAGAACTCAGAAGGTGTTTATATTTGAATTTGAAAAATCACCATGGTGGTGAATGGCGGGGGCTCCAGAATGTACAGTGCCAGTTTCATTAGGAGCGAGGAAGGAATGAAGGATGAATCACAACCCTTGAGATGAACCACAATCCTTGACCACCATTCGCTTGGGAGTTACTCGCCGTGCGTCAGTACACATCTCTCCAATTCAGAAGCCTTTAAGGAAACCGGCTGATGAGCTTGTGCTTTATTTGAGTGGGGAGTGCTTTGGACTTGGAGGAAGAAGCTGAGATCTGTATTTGAGTTGACATGAAGATCCAGGAAAGCACCTGTGGGTGGGAAATAATCTAAAGCAACTCTCCTCTGGAAGAGAGAGCCAGAAGACAGGGGGATTAGGAAATCTGAAATTCTCCTGCTGGCCCCCAGTGGGAATCTGCTGAAATCTAGGGGAGGGCTTTGGATGTCCATAGGGCAAGGGTGGGGGGAACAGGGAGACCCTGCCTCTGGATCCACTAAGTCAGCAGTTTCGTAACTTTATTGTCTCAGGAACTATTTAATATCTTAAACTATATTGAGGACCCCAAAGAGATTTGGTTTATATGGGTTATATCTACTAATTACCATTTCAGAAATTAAAACAAAGAAAACTTCATTTAAATTACTGAAAATTTATTTAAAACTAACAATAATAAATCTATTTACTAACATTATCATATACCATATTTTGTAAAAATATTTACAAAAATTTCCCTAAAAACTTATCAAGAAAGTGGCATTGTTTTTACATTTTTGCAAATATCTTTAATGTCTGGCATAATAGAAGACAGCTGGGTTCTCATATCTGCTTCTGTGTTTAGTTTTTTGTGATATCACCTAAGTTCTGAAATTTTTCACAAATGCTGGTAAAAGAACAAGAGTGAAAAAAGGCAAATAGCATCTTAATATTGTGTGAAAAGTTCCCTCTTTGAGAACTACTATACCAGACTGCACTGTTTTCTCTGGGCCTATCTGATCTTTCTCTTGTTCCTGTGGGCGAAAGGGCAGTGACTGGCAAGTTCAGACCAGCTCTATTTTGCTCAAACAACATCTCTGCAAATAATTCATATAATTCAGACTTCCACAAATGCAAGACTACCCAAAGGATATTGAATAGTTATGCACCAGCCTGTAGCAGTATTCTACTGCCTGTTAGAAGTAGAATAAATGCAGTTTACAATCAGCTCACACAAGGAGTTTGGAAATGGGAGAAACTCTGGATGACTTGTCGATTTGGAGGGGTGGAGGGCTGGCATCATTTCCTTAAATCACAAAAACTAGAATTTTATTAGTATTTTATAATGTACTCTTTAAAATTTGTGTCATTTAATAGGTTTGTCCATGTAAACCTAATTATAATAAAGAAGGAACTTTTGACAATGGTGGTTGGGGGTGGAGGGAGAGTATCAAGAATGAAAAGCTCCTTGAAGGCAAACTCTGAGTCTGAGTCATCTTGGCTCCTCCCCATGCCCTTGGCTGTGATCTCCAGGGCAGGGCCTCAGGGGAGCACCCCAGCTATTACTCTTCAGCTCTGAGTCTCTGGCCATGAGAGAAAAAGCACTAGATACACATTAGTAAAGTGATTTATTAAGAACTGGTGCAGGATCTCTGCTCCCAGGCAGCCATTATTTCAGAAACATTTTCCCTCTGTGTCTGAGTCATCATGCTTAAATGCCCATTATTTCACACTCGTCCTGGGTGTGAAGTTCTGTGAGCAGAAGGCAGGTGTGGGATTTGATAGAAGTAGGCCAGTCTCTGTTGACAAGATAAGAGCATTGGTCTCCAGCAAATGAAGGTCATTGTTTATAACATAAAGGATAGGGGTCTGGGTATCCCCAGGTACTAATTTTTCTAGAGGGATGTGGCCATTTCCTCCTGCAAATCCTATTCGGACATTCCGAGTTTCTGTGTATTTTAATCCTCCAGATACGGATGCATGGAATTGTATGCAAAGGAAACCTTTTAAATGAGATTCGTCATGGGAACTTTTCTACTTCTTTGGATTTTTTAAGATAATACTAAATTTTTGAGATAAGTAGAGATTCACATGATGTTGTAAAAAATAATAGAGCTCCCATGTACCCTTTACCTAGCCTCCCCCAGTGGTAATATCTTACCAAGCTATGGTACAATATTACGCTGACTTTCTTAAAAGAATCAGAGGATTCTTGAGACTTCTCTGAGTCCAGGAGGGAAAACTATGGGGAGAGATGTGCTACCTCCCCTTGGAAGGAATGTCCCCAGAAAACGACCTGGAGGGAATGGGGAGCATCAGGGCCCTGGTTAGAAGTGACAGCTGTCCAGGTGCAGATGTACAAGAGCCCTCCTGTCAGATCGCTGCCCTGCATGAGGACACCAATGAATTCCAGAGAAGCAGTGTATTTCCTTTCCTCGTCCAGGGGTGGCTGGGTCTCTCAGCCCTTCAGCTGAGTCTGCTCAGCTGTGGTGAAGTCTGCTCAGCCAAGTTCTGAATCACACAGTATAGCCTTGATTCCCAGCCCTTGACCTACTATATATGTATGACCTTGGCCAGTGACCTCTTCGAGCTTCAATGTTTTATAATATCTTATAATAGTATTTACTATGTCGCTATTAAAAAATGTTATATAATAATTCATTTAATACCAATCACCCTAAAGGGGAACACTGTTATTTTTTCCTATTTTACAAATGATTAAATTGAGGCACAGAGAGGTTATTTGCCAGTCACCAAGTTGGTGAATGTCACAGGAGAGTATTTGAGCCCAGGTGGATATTGGACATGTCAAAAGACCTCATGTATAACCACTGTACTGTATTGCTTCTCCTCATCCATGGCGTGGGTTCAGTAGAAACTTGCTGAATTTTTACAAGGCACCCTGGTTAGCACAGAGCCTTGGCATATTATGAATAAACACCAATAACTCTAGCTAGTCTTGTTAACTCATAATAGACTAGTTAATATAACAATAGACTGGTTTAATGTCTTCTGGGAGTTTCTGACTACTGGTTACTTATTATTGTTATTAATAGCTTTCATTGTGGCAACCTGCTACATGCCAGATCATTATTCCGCCCTCCCCTCTACTCAAAAGAAGAGTCTCTCTTGTATAGATGAAACAACAGGGAATCAGAGAGATGCAGCATATGTAGATACAGGATTCACACCCAGGGCTTTATCTAGAATCGTAGTTCCAGAAGGATCTTTAGAGACAACAGACTAACTTTGCACCCAGCCCAGTGTCCGCCCTACCCAGTAGCCAGTTGTCCCTTTTAAAGAGTCAGGTGATAGGGCTCTGCTTGAGCATACATCAGAATTGCCCCCCCACCATGTTAACACAGAGTTCTGTCCCCTTTTTTTGTCCCCCACCCCACTCCACTACACCCCACCAATCCACACCCTCCTGAGGTTTCTGGCTGGGCTGGGCTGGGCAGGGGTCAGGTAGGGGCCTGATAATGTGCAGTTTGCACAGTTCTACACTGAATGTTGATGCCACTGCTCAGGGAGCATGCTTTGAGAACCATTGCTCGAGGAATCTTTCCTGGAGCAGTAACAGGAGAGGTGATGGTTCCCTCCAATTATGCCTTTCACAGGTCTGTGATGGGCCTCCTGATAGGGCTAGTACCTTTGCCTCACACACCTGCCTTTATTGTAATCATAAACCCCCATCTATGTGGTTGCCTTCCCTTTACAGGGTTCTTAAGATTATTTACCCAAAGCCTGTCTCTGATGGAACTCAGAGCTCACCCCATTTATTTAGTGACCAGAGAGTGGGAGTAGCTTACCCTTTTAATTTTTTTCCAAAATAACATCTATAGTTGCCTTTCTGATTAAAAACAAACACAGTGAAAGCAACCTTGCTATTATTGAAAATTTAGAAAAGGACCACAAATACAAAATGGAGAAAGGGAAGAAAATTCAAATTAGCCACCATCCCATTGTTAGTATTTTGATATATTTGAATTTAGTATCTTTCCATATAGCCTCTTATTGCTTTCAATATATTTGTTGATATTGGAATAAAAACATAAATAGCACCTAGTATTCTGAAGACAAGGGATATTCTAAGTCTGCCCTAAACGTGGGAATTGCTATTGTTTGAATTATGAGAGTCAAAAGAGGAACTGAGGTTTGCCAAGGCAGCTTCCTGGGTGGTTCAGACAGGTCTTACAGCCAGCCTAGGACATGGGCACAGCAGTAGGAAGCATCATCATCTGTGCAGAGGTACAGGGGCGCAGTAGGAAAGGCCTGAGTCAGTGGTATGGGGGCAGGTCATGGAGAGCTGTGATTGGCTGACCTTGAACTCTCCTAGGCACTAGTGAGCCACTGCATACTCCTGAGCAGGAACTGACTTAACAAAGAGGTTTCTCAAGGCCATCCATGAATGATTGGTAGGGGAGGAGACAGGGGTATGGTACATGTGGGCCATACCCCGTGGCCCTGGCAGGGTTGGTGGCATAGATGGGTCTACTTCTGGGCTGCCAGGATGGAGAGGGACTGGTTGATCTTCACCATGGCGATAATGATGAGGCCGCAAGTCAGCAGGAAGGTGGGCCAGAAGAGGGATGAGAGGAGGGCCTGGGGCTCGTAGAGGCGCTTGTACAGGACCCTTGTGTCATTCTCCTGCATGGTCGAGAAGCAGTAGAAAACCTGGTGCTCCTGGAATTTGGCTCTGACCTTCTCCACGTCGGCCCGGGCCGCCTGGTAGTTGTCCAGGCTGCCTGGGATGTAGGAGCACTGCGGGAAGAAGCAAGAGCACCAGGGGTTGGAAACTCCTATTTCTTAGGGCTTGGTTAGGAGTCAAAAATGCCAGCTTTGGGGGCAGGCTTCTGGGTAGGAGGCAGGGCTCTGTCTAAAGCTTGGCAGGTGGGGCACCTCACAGGCCCTTTGTGAGCATGGTGAGCCCTGGGACTTCTCAGGTACAGCCTGCGTGCCTGGAGCAGGGCCCCATCTGGAGTCCTGGTGCTCCTATTGGCTATGGAACCATAAGCAAATGACTTACTACCCTTTCTCAACCTTAAAATGGGTTGATAGCAATATCTTTCAAAAGCTGTTATTAAAGAAGGACTTCAAACTTAATTTAAGGAGACCAATGAGTGATCCTGGTCAAGTTGGGCTCTGTGTTTGGATTCAGAGTAGAGGTCCTGTGCAAGTGACTCACAGGCTCATGCCAAGTAACGCCAAGTGAACTGGGAGCAGGGAGATGATCAGGGCCAGGTACCTCGGTGCCATGGAAAATCATCAGGGAATCGGGGAGCCTGGGGAATGGAGAGAGCAGATGCATGCAGGCTGGGGGTCAGCCATTCACCTGGACCATAGATAACATTGGATCCATACCTATTGTAGCCAGGCCTCCAACATTTCCAGAGAAGCCAGAAAACAAAATTTTAATGTGAACACTTGCAGTTTTAACATATGGGTGAAAATGTGAGTTGAAAACCCTTTGAGGTCTAATCTCTATGAACAAAAACCAAAGATTTGGCAAGCTGATGTTTGACATGAGGATCCAAAGGAAAGAGAGCCTGCACTTAATGAGAAAGCATTTGTGCAGGCGGCCCTGGTGCACATTTAAGTCTGACACTGATCATTGTTATTACAAACCTGCTGGCCTGGACAGATGAGGTCCAGCTGGCAAGTTCCAAAGAGAAGGCACAAGTAGAGATCCTGTTTTGCCTCTGGTTTGGGAGATGCTGTGCAAGAGTGATCCCCACCCTCCTTCCTGGAGGGCTGGCCATAGCACAGGTTTCTTTTTTTTTTTTTTTTAAGGTATAACTACAAAGTTGGGTGTCATTTTATTTATTTATTTGTTTATTTGTTTGTTTGTTTATACATGCACTGGGTACAGTCAGAAGCGCAGAAGGGTGAGAGAATTCACCAGAGCCAGAGCAGGGAGCAGAGCAGGCAGAAGGACCGAAGTACACTGCTGAGGGGAGCAGCGGGCGGCAGGAGAGGTCTGCGCGCCATGTGGGACCCTCCTCCGGTGGCCGGGGAGCAGCTGGAGATCGAACCGGCGCGGCAGAGGCTGCAGGCAGCTTCGCAACCCAGCGCTCAACCGCTGCGCCACCGGGGAAGCCCTACAGGTTTCTTTTTTTTTCTTAAAGATTTATTTTTATTTATTTATGCATACAAGAACTGGGGTGTAGGCCAGAGGTGCGGGGATGAGAGGATTCACCAGAGAGCAGAACTACTGAAATACACTGCTGAGGAGAGCAACAGGTGAGATAGGAGAGGTCTGCTGCGCCATGTGGGTTAGCTCCCTGGCCAGGATCGAACTCATGCTGCAGTGACTTGCAATAGCTTGATAGTGCTGAGACCAACAGGGAGGCCCCTGTAGTACAGCTTTCTAATCTGAGGGTAGGACCCAGCAATCAAGAGGTTCCTTCATGCAGGAAAGTTTGAAGACCAGTGCCCTAATAGCATCATGTCCAAAATTAAAACATGTATAAGTGTTGAGCCATCTTCTCCTGGTTACTCCCTGAATTTAAATGAAGCCCCACAGCTGACCTAACAGCACTCACTGGAACAGAGGAGGAAAGCATTTGTAATTCTGACAGGCTGGGAGGGGGGAAGCTGCCTCCAGAAGTAGGTCCCCAACCAGCCAACAAGTGGCATAGTCTGGGGGAGAAGCTGGCCCTTGAGGAATCTGGCATTCAAACTGGGCACCTCAGGGTCTCAGGGGGATTCAGAATGCTGAGCTGTGAGGACCTAAGCCAAGTCTCCCCAAAGCCTCAATGCTGACTCTGGGTTACCTAGCTCATTGAGCAAAACTGTGGCAATAAAACCAGACATGTCCAGGTTCAACCACCAGTTCAGAGTTGTGTGACATTGACAAGTGCCACAGCCTTGTTGAGTCTTGTAAAATGTGTGTATGAGGTGCCTGCCCAGTGGAATTGTGGGGATTAGATGAGTCGGTGCATGTAAAGCACTTAGAATAGAGTGCAGCTCATGGTAAGTGCTTGATAAACGAATGATGCTAGTGATGATGATGATGACGATGATAAGTTCTAACTATGAAATTACAACCAATAGCAGCTTCTTTCCTTCTTAAAGAAGGGTCTATGGGCCAACTTTGATATGAGAGCTTAGCCAACTTGGGGTTAGTCTGGATCCTTTAAGCCAGGTGAGACACTGCACAGGATTTAACTCTGCAGGACCAAACCCCAGAAGCCCAGGGCCTGCCTGTATCCTCTCCCACCTGGCCTGGCTTCATCTAACCTTACTGAGTTTCTTGAAGGATCTGAAATGACCCATCTGCTCTCCTTAGCACCCCGGTGTGACTATCCTCAGAATGGACTATAGAAAGGGGCTTAGGATGCCCACTGAAAGCAGTCTAGCAGCCCCCTTTCTCTGAAAGGTGTGGGGAGAGACAACCTGGCCAGGCTTTTTGCATGTGATTCCAGAGGTACCCCCTTCTGGCCTGGAACACTGGCTCCTACACCTCAGAGCTGAAAAAAGTGGAAGGGCAGCTGACCCACTCACCCACCTGCTTGGCAGAAACATGGGGGGGCACAAGGGAAGCATTAGCACTGCTCCTGGTGTTGCCTGGGAGCCGTGGGAAGGAAGATAGACTAGCCAGTAGCTGCCGCCACCCTCCATCCAGGGCCACACAGGCATGTTTCATGTGTGACTGACAGCTCATTCAGGGGAAGCTCTGGCCTCTCCCTCCTCTGAGATGCCAGCCTGCTCCTAACACTGTCCCCTCCCCGCCCCCCCCCTCCACTTCCAGCACCAGTGATCACTTCTACATGTCTTCAAGAATTTGCTCTTGCTCCTTGGGAAAAATCAAAATGTCTAGGTCCCAAGTATGCAATGATTCAGGTGGGTTTGAAGGCTCCATCACATGGAGCTGAGTCACACTAGTGATAACATAATAGGCACAACCACGTTGCACCACCCGGACCCACTTCTTCATGATCTCACTGACTCCCCCATCCCACCCCAGTGACCCTGCCCCTTCCCATCCTATTGGCTTTCAAACTATGACAGTTTGTGATGCATCCATCCTTAATGCAAGCCTAACTTCTGTATAGAGTGCTTCGCTTTTCTACCCAATAACTGAACCCCCACTCCTCTGCACCACTCTGCTCATGCCCCTAGGGCTCCAGACCCTTTAAAGAGTCCCATTTGCTCACAGCAGTATTCTAAATCTTAGCATCACCTAGAAAGCTCTCATGATGCAAATTCATATTCCCACCTAGGCCCATCCTGTGTTTCTGTTTGTGCCCATAAATTCTGTTTCCATTGGCCTGGTGTGGGACTCTGGTTTTAAAGCCCTGGATGGATCTAATGCACAGCCAGAGTTAAGGAAACCCCACTTGCTTGATCTTGTTTTAATTCCATAGTTTAATAGTAATTGGCAGAGATTCCCGGCTCACAGCTCATATACTACTGGAATATCATTAATATTTCCCCTCTTTATGGTTTTCTTGAATTTAAATAACCCTGGGAATCAGTAAGACATTCTCCTAGAAAGTGGTGATGTCTATTAGGGCCACATATGTCTCCGTTGCCTGTTAAAAACAGCACTATGAGTATTATTTGGAGTAAACTTGTTCCAGATAAAGCTCTGGCCTTCTGGTGCAAAATGCAAAAGGAACTGTGTCATTCATGAGCCTAGGATGATGTGACACCAGTCCTTGTGGACTCAGAGTCTCTGTAAAAACCATTTAATCAGTTTTTACAGCCATACCTCCTGACTGCTTTGGCATTAGCTCCTAAAATATGCCTGACCATGTGGGCACTTCACTCATTCATTCTGTAGTCATTGAGCACTTCCTGTGTTAGTGTTCCAGGACTCAAAAGGGGAGAACTCAGATGTGAGATAATACCTAGTTGGGAAGGATCTGTGTCAAAAAGAGAACAGAAAATTATGGGGATGAAAGGACGAAGTACCGTTTTCCAGCTGCCAGTGAAAACTGGGTCTCAGAGTGAGTAAATGACTGAATGAATATGAACCAACTTGTATTTCCTTTAGGAAGGGCTGCAGTGGTGGATTGGGGAGAGGGCGTTTAGAAGGCAGTGATGGGAAAGTCTCCCAAGCATTTGGCCCCTAGGGCTCGCATTTCGCAGAGGTCATGCGAGCCCTAGGTCTCTGATTTCTTTAGGGGTGTGGGGGTACAGTCACAGGGTTCCTCTCCATGTGGGCAATAGTGGGCCTGGATGCAGTTTATAGGATGAAGTAATAGCACTAACATCCACCTGATATTGAGCTTAGCATATTAAATATTGTCTCTGACTGCATAGAACACTTCAGTGAAGATGAAAACTTAGGCTTGGATGGGCTAAGTGGCCTGTCTCAGCCAGTCACTTAGTGGCAGAACTGCGATTTGTAGCCAGGTCTATCTGATTCCAACACAGAAGAGGTAGGCCCAGCTTGACCTTATGTAAGCTATAGAGCCTGGTCACTGGCTTCTTCTTTCTTAGCCTCTACTCTGCAGAGTGGGCATGGGTGCCAGTCAGGACAAGTCCACACAGCTGTCAGTAAGGGGATGTGGCCCCAGACCCCCCAGTAGTACCTGCTGGTTCTGGTCCCAAGTGTCCTCCGTGTGGTACAGTACAGCCCACTGGCCCATGGCTGACACGTTGACCCATAGGCATGGATATTGGGGCACCCTCTTGCCCTCCAGCTTCTCCTGGTCCCTGATGTTGGTCTCAATCAATTGGCACGTGACTTTCTGGGTCCATATGCTGGGAAAACCACATATACACATACAACTGAGAACCTGGGTGACATGGAAGACCCTATTTGAACCCCTTTAGAGACATCCAGGGTTGGCACCCTCATCTTGTTATAAGCATCCAGCTCTAAAGGAACATGACCCCAGAGTCCTGGGGCAAGGGGAAGAATCCCAGAACCAATATCAGTGCAGGTTGGCTACCAAAAAATCCTGGGTTTTTTTTAAAAAAAGATCCTCATGTTCAAGTCATGCCTCCAGACCAAGGGGATCAGAATTTCTCAGTGGTTGGGGTCCAGACCCCAGCAAGAGCTTAAAGCTCCCTACTGTGATTCTGAGGGGCAGCCAGGTCCGAGACCTCTCCAACCTCATATCATCTTCATCTTGCAGAGAGAAAGAGAAGCTCTGAAAGGCCAAGTGACTTTCCCAAGACCACACAGGATGAGAAGACAAATCTGGGGAGGGGTTCAGAATTTGTGCTCTTTTCCCTAAAATGACTAGACTGGGAGGTAGGGAAGATTGTGGGGATGTCGCTTCACCATCATCTGGAGAGCTGTGTTGGAGGCACATGGTGCCTCCCTGAGTGGTGGCTCATGCCAGTAAGATTCCAGCCTGGAATTGCTCCAGTACTGTAAAAAGTGAGGAAGAAGCAGGCCCAGGAGAGGCTAACAGCCTCATCAACACATAAGAGAAACAATTGTGACTCATCTCATCTCCCATTTATCAGACAGGAGACACTGCCAGACAGAGGGACCTGTCTGCTGCTGAGAGATCCAGCAGCAGGGGTCTGAGATTTATCCTAGGAACAGGCTGAGAGAACTGTGTGTTTATTCCAAGTAGAGCACGGATCAGTCAGGAACTTCGCAGCTCTCCTTCAAAGGCTCATTGACATGTCAGGGAGCAAGGGCATGGAACATTCCCTGAGATTCCAGAACAGCATTCTATGTAGCAGATTTTGGCTCCACAGCAACACTTCCTACTTGTCAGTAAAGCCTACTAGTAGGTAGTATAGGTCAGGAGCTCCCGTCACATGAATATTCAGCAGGAGGCTGGATGTCCCCCTGACTGGCAGGTTTCAGAGGGGCTCCCGAGCTGTGCAGATAAGCTACGAAATTCTGTGATCCCTCCTGGCATCAAGCTCACACTGGAGTATCTGCTCTGATCCTTTGCTGTTTCTTATGAGGAGGATCTTCTGGTTCTTTATCCCAAATCCCAGAGTCCCAGACAAGAGGATCCAGTTCAACTTAGTCACCTTTGCACTTGACCCTGAAAAGTGGATTATCCAGACCTTCCTACTTAGTGGGAGGGATTGGGGAGGCATAGGAAGAGGCTGGTTCTTTACCAAACCAACACACTTAGGAGAGAAGCTGGAGGAGGGGGCAGAACAGGAGGGTGCAGTACCTTTTCTGGTAGAGGGGCAGCATGGTGGTACCCAGGATGTAGTAGGAGATGACAGCACACAGCACCATGACCACACCCAGGCACAATGCGCGAGTCTCTCCCCGCTTCTGGGCCATCACCAGCTTCTTCCCCATGTCCACTGGGAACAGCAGTCATTTCTAGGACCACAGAGACAAACAGATGGGAGATCAGCACAGGTGACAGTTAAACAGAAGGGAGCAGGAAGGTGAGCAGGACGGGTACTCAAATAGCATTATCACCCTTATCTTTATACATGAAGCGTTACAACTTCACAGAATTCTTTTGACCTCATAGAAGCCTCCCACCAACTCCTAGAGGCAAATATTGTCATCCCTATCCTATAGACAAAAGAACCTGTGGCTCAGAGAGGTTAAGTGACTGTTCAAGGTCACACAGCATGTGATAGGCTTAGTAATGGGCCCAAGATATCCATGTTTTCAGCTCTGGGCCCTGTAAATGTTACTTAATGTCACAAAAACTTTAAGGATCTTGAGATGTGGCGAAGTTCCTGGATTATCCTATACGTAGACCCTGAATGTTATACAAGCTTTCTTATAAGAAAGAGGCAAAGGGAGACAAGATGTAAAAGAGGAGAAGGGGGTGTGAGCCAGAGGCAGAGATGGAGGTCACAGGGCCAGCAGGAAATGGCATCCTCTAGGAGCAGAGGAGGCAAGAGACCATATGTGCTCCCCTCTACCTCCCAGGGAGCACAGCCCTGCTGCCACCTTCGCTCCACCCTGCCAAGCCTGGCTGATTTGGGACTTCTGGCCTCCAGAACTGTGTGCACGTAGACCACTGCTGTTTCAGGCCACTGATGTGTGACAGCAGCAGCATCGGGAAACTAATACTACGAGATGCACAAATACAGTGAACACATAGGTGGAGCATCCACTCACTGTCCTAGGACACTTGTCTCAGAAAAACTTGAAGCATTTCATAGGTCAGCTGAAACAGATCCTGGGCAGGGCTGATGGGGCCAGGGGTGGCTTGCTGAGGACCCCAGAAGGCAGCCATAGGCCCTGTAGGCCATCGCCCCTTTAAATGAGGAAGAAGGTATTATGGTGGCCTCAGCAACCGCCTTCACATTTCTGGGCTCTAGTCACCCTGGGCCCAGGAGGAAGTAGCTGGCAGCTTTTCTCCTTTCCCCCTTCTGCCCTCGCCCCTGTGCACAGTGAGTCCTGCCCTCCGCTACTCCCCCCTGTCTCCTCCTTCTTCCTTTCCCTCCTCCCCCTCCCTCTATGAGCCCATGGAAAACCCTGCAGGGGTGTGACTCTTGCCACCTGTGTGCCCCCTGGAGTCCCAGAGCCTGTCTGGCTTCTGTGCCTTGTGGATGTTTCCCATCTGTTCTGCAAGTTGCCCCATAGCATTCCAGCCAATTCTTTGATGTTGTTTTCGGTTGGTTTGTTTAAGGTAACCTTATCTGCCATTTCTACCAAAGACATCAAGGTCCTAGGGTTTTCTCCATAACCCTGTTTTAAGGTAAATTTTAGCCAGTTATTAGAACGGACTTTATTTTCCTTGTCAGGGCCTTAAAGTAACCAGCATGACACCTAGAGAAGGGAAAAATGCCCCATGGACTGCCTCCCCAAGGCTGCCCAGGGGTCTTGTCACCTGCCTTGCCCCAGAGATATGGACCACAAATCTTTGGGGCCAACAGGGATCTGCCTTGAGGACCTAGACTGAGTAACCACAGCAAAGCAGTCTTTCCCGGTAGAGTTGAAGAGTATGTTGAGGGGTGCCCTAGGCAAGTCCCTGCCTTCCAAGCTAATCTGTCTCCACATTACACCCTCTCAGCCCTAGGCACTCTTGAGGCTAGGGAGGTAGGGCCTGGTGTAGGGCCTAGAGCAGGTCTAGGAGCTTAGGAGGAAACAGTGGCAAGGTTGCAGCTTATTTAAATCCCACATGTTTGTAGTGTGGTGGCAAGATTTTCCATACCCAGTGAGTGGATTTGGAGTGTTGTGATAAATCCTCCCAAGACCATGCTAGGGGTTCTATTTTGATAAATGACTTGGGGAAGAAGTTGGCTTTCAACATCCAAATCAGAGCCTTCTGAGAAGGACGGGTGGGAACTGGTGCTATCTCCCAGGTCTGAACAGGAAAAATGGATTGTTACTAAAGCAGGAGGGATTCCAGTTAGACTCCAGGAAGAATTTCCAAGTTTTAGGAGTTGCTAAATATCTTGGCTTTACCCCAGAAATAAACCCACCTTATATGAACATTTAAACTACAATAAAGAAGAAGGGATTCCTTAATGGCATAGGGGTTATGTCTCAGCATTATCACTCTGTCAGCACAGTGGTCTGAGTTCAATCCCTGGCGAGGGAGCTAACCCACATATGGCAAAGGAGACTCTCCTGTTTCACCCACTGCTCCTTTTAGCAGTGTATTTTCAGTAGGTCCGCCTGTTCTGCTCCCACTCTGTCTCTGGTGAATCCTCTCACTGCCCCCCACCTCTGGCCTTCAGTCCAGTTCTTCTACACAAAAATAAGTAAATAAAATCTTTTTAAAAAACCACAATAAAGGAGAAAAGAATATTCACTGGAGCAAGGAAAGCCTCTTTAATAGGAGGTTCTGGGAAAACTGAACAGCTGCATGTAGAGAATGAAACTAGACCCCTGCCTCACACCATACACAAAAATCAACTTAAAATGGGTAAAAGAGGGCCTCCCTGTTGGTGCAGTGGGTTGAGCGCAGTGCTGTGAAGCTGTCCGCAGCATCTGCTGTGCCGGTTCGGGCTGGCCAGGGAGATTCCCAGACCTCTCCTGTCTCGCCCGCTGCTCCCCTCAGCAGTGTGTTTTGGTCCTTCTTCCTGTTCTTCTCCCTGCTCTTTCTCTGGTGAATTCTCTCACCTTCCCGCACCTCTGGCTTGTACCCCAGTGCTTGTATAAATAAATAAATCTTTAAAAAAAAATTATCCCTGTGCCTGACCCACTGCAAGTCCTACAAGGAGCTCATACAACTCCACAGAAAGAAAACAAATAACCCAATCAAAAAGGGGACAGAAGAATTAAACATACACTTCTCTAAATAAGACATACAGATGGCCAAGAAGCACATGAAAAAAACATGTTAATTATCTCTTCTCATCAGGGAAATGCAATCAAAATCACAATGAGACACCACCTCATGAGAATAGCCCATATTAACAAGACCAGAAACAATAAGTGCTGGTGAGGATATGCAGAAAAAGGAATCTTCTTACTGATGATAGGAATGTAGACTTGCCCAGCCCCTATGGAAAGCAGTGTGGATCTTTCTCAAAAGATTAAAAAGGCACCTGCCATATGACCCAGCAATTCTACTCCTAGGTATCTACCCAAATATTACAAAAACATATTTTTTTTAAGATTTATTTATTTATGCATACAAGAGCTGGGGGACAGGCCAGAGATGGGGGAGGGGGCAGTGAGAGGACTCAGCAGAGACAGAGCGGGAACAGAGCAGGCAGATTGACTGAAATACACTGATGAGGGGAGCAGTAGGTGAGACAGGAGAGGTCTGCCTCTCCATGTGGGCTGCTCCCTGGCTATCCAGGGATCAAACTCGTGCTGCAGAGGCTGCGGATTGCTTCATAGTGCGGTGCTTAACCCCTTGCACCACCAGGGAGGCCCACAAAAACATAATTTGAAGGGAAACTTGCTCTTCTACATTCATTGCAGCACTATTTACAGTTGCCAAGCTCTGGAAACAACCTAAGTGCCTCAAAACAGATGCGAGGATCAAATAGATGTGGTATATATACACGGTGGAATGATACTCAATCATCAAAAAAGATAAACTCATGCTATTTGCGGCAACGTGGATAGAATTGGAAGGGATTATGCTAAGTGAATAATCTAGAAGGAGAAAGAAAAATACCAAATGGTGTTACTTATATGTGTAATATAGAAAAACCAGGGCCTCCCTGGTGGTGTAGGGGTTAAGTCTCAGCGCTATCACCGCTGTGGCCTGAGTTTGTTCTCTGGCCAGGGAGCTGACCCACATGGCACAGCAGACCTCTCCTTCTCGCCTGCTGCTCCACTCGGCAGTGTATTTCAGTCAGTCTGCCTGTTCTGCTCCCCGCTCTGTCTCTGGTGAATATTCTCACCACCCCCGCACCTCTGTCCTGCACCCCAGTTCTTCTACACAAAAATAAATAAATAAAATCTTTTAAAAAATAATATGGAGAAACCAAAAAAAAAAAACAAGGTCAGATAAAACCAAACTAAAAATGCCAACGCTTGAAACTGTTATGGAGCAGCCCCTATATAAAATGGGTTGCCTGGCTGTGGGTCCTCACCCACGCGCTTAAAAAGGGACTTATTAATACTCCACTACAGGCATACACAAAAGGTTAATAAAAGGTCTATTTACAAAGGAAGAGGAATTGAGGAAATGTACAACTCAGGGAGAAAATAGAGAAATAAGTCTTTAATGCGTCCTACCCAATCCGCCGACCTGGAAACCCAAAGTCACTCTCAGAGCTGGCCGTGCTGTGAGCTGGCGGAGAACCAAAAAAGGGGAATCCCCCAAAGCCCACGTGTCTGGTTTTTTACCAAACCTGGCTGCTTAACCCCACCTTCAGGTCCCAGCCACCTACCCTTTGGTGGTGATGGAATTTGTTGTTCCCAGTGTCTTTTGGCTTTGGTCTGGAGTGGGGGTGGAGTCCACAAAATGGAATTAGCTTTAGGACATCCTTTTCCCCCTAACAAAATCAGACTACAGAACTGAGGGTACCAGAGCCGGAAGGGGAGAGGCAGGAACAAAACAGGAAGGGAGCACAAGAGACTCTGGTGGTGGACGGTGGATACTTGGGTGGTTGGGGGCGCTGTGGAAACAACACCTGAAGGGGAGCATCCTGTCTTCCTGAAATACAAATGATGTAAAACAATATTACTGCAATAAAAAAAAATTAAAAAAGAAAACAATTGTTGGCTTTGCCACCTAGCACCCAAGTGACGGTGAGACAAGACTAATAGTGCTTGTCCAGAGAGTCCTGATAAAGATCAAATGATACATCAAATTTTTGTATTTATCCCAGTGCCTGGCCAATGCAAGCCCTCGATAAATATTAGCCATTGTTATTAACAAAGGGAGCCCTGAAGGTTTGGAGCAGACGTCTCCTGTATTCTTGCTGAGCCAATTTTTATCTCACCCTCTCCTGGAGGATAAGTGCCAGGGCAGTCATGCTGCCCAGGCTGCTGCCCTCTGATTGCTCTGGCAGTTGCAACCTGAAGGCAAGAGCAGGGCTACTAGAGAGACTGACCACAGAGCCCAGCTGCCCCCCACCTGGACACCAGGCCATAGATCCAGCAGTATTAATCCCCAGTGACCGGGATGTCAGTCCCCCTCGAGCCCAGAATCTTGATGGACAGCCCCTTGAGGAAGCCAGTGCCCGCTGCTGCCTCCCCCCCTGAAATTTCTCCTCTGTCCCCAGTCTTTAGAGAAACCACTCCCCAGGTACTCTGGACACACAATACTCACAGTCTCCCCCGTGCCTTGGAGTCTCGGACAGGCAGACACTTTCTTTCTGCCCGGTCCCCAGCCCCCACCCCGAGAGAGGTGCCTCAGCTGCAAGCAGGAAGTCCGGGCTCCCAGCCCGTCTCCTGGGAAGCGGCCTTTGGTCTCCATCTGGGACGAACCTCCATGCCCAAACATGGTCACGTCTGAGCACACAGCCCTGGGACGCCAAGTTGGGTGAGCAGGTACCCAGCCTGGAGGAGGGAGGGCAGCCGCCCCCCAGGCCTCTGCACCTGCATTCCCACAATCTCCTGGGAAACAGCCTTCAAACAACCAGCAACAAAACTGAGAAGCTGGGAAAGACCAGGAAATAAGGACCTGATCTATTTGGAGATGTTTCTTTTTCACTCAGTCTCTCCAGGCTGGCAGAGAAGCCAGGAATGGGAAATGATTCCTCTTTTGTTGACCTGGGGGAGGGAGTCAAGTTGATGCTGGAGCAGTGGGGCTTGTCAGGCGCTGGAGGGCTGACCTATACCCATGCTCACTGGAATGGACAAACTTTCCCGCCTCTGGCTCTTGCAGTTTCATGCTGTGTGACCCTGGGCAGATCATCACACCTCTCTGAGCCCCAGTTCTCTCATCTGTGCTCTTGGAATTTAAAAACTTACTTTGTTCAGAGTGGTGCTGAGGGTGAGAGATGTTGAGGATTTGGGGTAGGGGAAACGAACTCACCTTTTAAAGACCAAACAAGCAGAAGCTGGGAGCAGTGGGAGCCTCACAGCTGCTCCCAGCCACCAGGTCCAAGTGCCTCCTGGAGATGGTCAAAGTGTGGTTTGGGCTTGTAGAGATTTGTTCCTATCAAGAAGACAAGCGAGCATCGGCATTTGCAAGCAAAGACATATTTCTAGCTTTCCCTCTGTTTCCTTATCTGTAGAGGAGTTATTTTAAGGATTAAAACTCAGTCACAGATACAGATCATATATTGAGTTGCTCCTAAGTATCAGGCCTGATGCTGGTGATCTGTTGTCTCTGTCCCTCACTTTACCCAATGGTCAGAGGAAGAAACTGAAAGTGGGGCTGGACCACCATTACTGTGCTTTCTAGGCAGGAGCCAGATTCCAAGACGGCCCCTCCAGATAGCAAGGCTGAGCTGTCTCTACTGAGCCCAGAGCTGCTTGAAGATCTGAGAGCTCATTCCATCATACAGTCACTTGCTACCTGAGGTTGGGAGGTCACCCTACGTGCCCCATGCCCCAGGTCAGTGGGCACAGTCCCATGGTGCCTCCTTAATAAGTGCCACCTCCTCCTTCAATCCTGCCTCCAGCTTTGTGAGCAGCCAGCCCAACAGGCCATGAAATGAGAGTGCTGCTGTGGCCTCCTCGAGACACGCTCCAGCAGTTAGTCCCCTTCCTAATTGAATCATATTAACGGGAGAGTAAATTGTCTGTGTAATGCACAGCATAGTAAAAGGGGTTCTCTTAAAGGCTGGCCTTAGACCTCGCAGGCAGATCACAACGAGGACAGAAGCTTGGAATGAATCCCTTGAGGAGTGATTTTGCAGCATGGTCCTTGATCCATGCAGGAGTGAAAGGGTCCTCCTGGGTCCCATGCACTAATGCAAAAATGCCAGTCCTTCTTCCTCTCCAGGGGGAGAGATCCAAAGTGCAAAGACAGCCATTTTAAGTATGAAAAAGGGGCTCCTTGCCCATAACAGACTGCATGAGTAATTAAGGGTGACCCACCAGGAATTTGTAAGCCAACTTTGGCATTCTTCCCAAGGTGCTTTTCCTCTTGCAAGATGGGGACAGGTAGGGAAAGGGAGTGCAAGCTCTTCTGCAGCTCCAAAGTGAGTCTACTCCTGCAAAATGCTTTTGACAAGGGCCTCTCTCTCTCTCGAGGGTATGTGGATGGAACCCCGGTGCCTTTCTGATTGTAGGGATAGGTGTGACAGATGATCATAGTGGAGGGTGGGGAAATAATGATGCTACAACAATAAAGATTGGTACTTTGCATTAGCATGGGCTGTTTGCAATCACAAAATACCTTCCCTGACTTCATCCTTCCAATAATCCCCTTAAGATCATAAGCACTGCAGGCTCACAAGAATCCATTCAAATAGAGGTTTTACTCCCCATTTCATAGCAGGGATAACTGACAATTAGAGAGGTTACATTAATTGCCCAAGGTAAGTTACTTTGCTTCTCTGGGCCTCAGTTTGTCCATCTTTAAAATGGAGATAATAATACCTAGACCCTAGGTGGTTTTGTGAAATAAGAGATCTTTCAGCTAATTGACACATAGTGTGGCAGATGCCATTTTCTTTTTTTTTTTTTTTTAAAGATTTATTTACTTTTGCGTACAAGAGCTGGGGTGCAGGTCAGAGATGCGGTGGGTGAGTGGATTCACCAGAGACAGAGTGGGGAGCAGAACAGGCAGACTGACTGAAATACATTGCTGAGGGGAGCAGCGGGCGAGGCGGGAGAGGTCTGCTGCACCATGTGGATCACCTCTTGGGCCAAGGATCACACTCATGCTGCAGTGACTGCGGATAGCTTCATAGTGCTGAGTCTTAACCCCTTGCACCACCAGGGAGGCCCCAGATGGCATTTTCTGAAGATGGCCACATCCCTGTGAATCCTCTCCTATATGTTCTTCTTTCAATGCAACACAATTGCCATCCATCAAGAGGGTGTTTCTACGTCCTCCTCCTTTCACCTGGGCAGACCTTTGTAACTACCTCACCCAAAGAATGTAATGCAATTGACACCTTATAACATAAATAGTGGGACAGCTTTCACTGGGCACTCACTCTCTTGAGGGCACTGCCCTTGAAGCCTCTAATCAAATTGTGAAGGAGCCAAGTGGTCACATGCAGGTGTTCCAGCTCAGTCCTTAGCCACTAACCAGCATTGCCCATCAGACACGTGAACAGAGAAGCCCCAGCCTTCAATCTCAGATGAGGCCTCACATGCCAAGGAACAGAGACCAGCCCCACTTCCCCTCCCCAGGATCTCTCTGAATTCTCCATCCATAAAATTCATGAGCAGTGGTGGTTTTATGCTACTACAATTGGGGGGAAATTGGGAGGAGTTTGCCATGCAGTCATAGTAACTGAAGCATGTACTATAAGTCCTTTAAAAGGGGAAGTATTATTGTTGCCAATGATGGTGGTAGTATTGAGCCAGTGGGAATGAAAAGTCTGAGATTACTTTACGGAACATTGTGGGGGAGCTTTAGAAATATTTTATTTACTCTTATATGAGCTTGTTCACGGCTGCATAAGTAGAATACATGGGCATTGACATAGGAGGGCATTTTCATTTATTGAGCACCTACTAAGTACCAGAGCATGGGACATGTACATGCACACACACATAGCACATGCAGGTGTAGAATACATTGCCTAAGTTCAAGTATGTGTGTGCATACACACATGATCTTGGCGCATATGTATGCACATGCATGTATAAAACATATGCATAGGTATACATGTGCATACTCATATGTGCATACTTACATATGTACCTGCACACACATATTTCATTGCTTGATGCATGCGTGCACATGTGTATGTATTGCACACATGCATGTATATTCATTCCTGTTAACACTCTTATATTATAAAACACCCATATTCATTCCTGTTAACACTCTTCACAAGAGGTCTTATTATTTCTGTGATTCATCCCAGGTCCCTCTGTTGACATATGATGTGATGGAGCCTGGATGTGACCCGAACTTGCCACCTGCCCCTATTGTTAATGAATGCCAGCCTCAGTTTCCCTCAGCCAATAAAAGGAAACAGAGTTTGAGGAAAAGGAAAGTGGTATAATTTGTCGACAAATGAGGAGGGCCGCAGGCTCATGTCTGAAAGACAACTGTCCTGCTCTTTGGCAGAGTGCAGGGGTATTTATAGGAGGGGGAGATGGGCAAGAGTCTGAGAAGGGGAGGGAGGGGGACCAGCATGGAGACACGTGGGCACCAGCTTGTTTTTATTAAGGGAGGGCTGGGGTGGGCCCCAGCTCCTTTTTTTTTTCTTCTTAAGGGAAGGGGGAAGGGGTCAGCAGGAGGGCGCCAGCTTGCTTCAACAACCTCTTCCTTGAAATGCAGGAGGACTTGTTATCTAAAGACAAACCTGTCAAATAAGGGGGAAATTGCAAGAAATGGGGAAAAGACAAAGTAGTTAATGCCTATCTAAGAGACCAGTTGTTTATAATTGTATCACTATCCCTCCAAGACTCTCCTAGGGGCAGTTTTCAAGAGAACCAGTCTTTCTTTATGATGTCTGGTTCCACTGCCTTACAAACCCCTCAACTCTGTTTATAGTTCTTTCTGGATTGTGCATCCACTTATTTATTTAAACCCTGTGAATCAATATCTATTCTCTGCTGCCACTTGGGATAATAAGTCCCATAAATCAAATTGGCAACTGTGTCCTGAGCCCCTGCTGAGGCTGTGTCTCTAGATGTGGGTGTGAGCCGCCCTCACAACTGCTCAAGCTACCGGTTCTCAGACTTTTGAGGGCCTGCTGTGCAGAGGCTCAATGTGCTGTGTTGGAGCAGACATAGCACCTTCCCTGTGGGGAAGGGGTGATGGATGATTAAAGCTGTAAAATGGTACAACAGAAAAAGCAAATAGATAAGATACATTTTAAGGGAGCGAACGATAAAGGGCAGGAAAAAAATCATAGTGAAAGAGTTTTCAATAGAGTTCAGATGACAAAGTATAAAAACAGGACAATTAACTGTCAATATTCAGATTAAATGGCAATACAAGGAATACAAGTTTGCTCCTGGGGAGAACTCTCTTTCTCCTTCAACTCTTTTCCCCTTCACCGCATTTTTCTTGCTTAGTGACAAGGCTTTCCAAGCTGCTGTATGTTAACATAATTGCAAGCAGCTTGAAATCCTGTTTGAAACAAGGAGGAACATAAATAAATAAAGAGCACTATTATCCACATGGCTGGTAAGGGAGTTTTTTAAAGCCTTACCCATACTGCAAAAGCCCCCAAACTCACGTGGAAAAGTTGGAGCAGCAGAGACGTAAAGGAAGAAGATGAGGCACACTGACAACCCATGTGCAGGGAACTGGAGTTTCGGGGTGGGGAGAGGGATGTATGTCCTTCCAGGCACTTGGAAATCGTGGCTGCGGGCTTCTCTCCCTCCACAGGGCCTCCCTTTCTCCTCCCACCTGCTGGTGAGCTCCCCACTTCCCAGGAACTCAGTCCTGGGCCAAGTCAGTGTTCTGCTTTAATCTGCCCAAGGCACTGCAAGCAACTCCTTCAAAGCATTTCCTCTCCCAGAATTTTACATTTATTCAAAAACCTTCTCCATTCGCAGGTCTCTTTGCCTGGATGTCAGCTCCTTTGTTGCCATTCACTGTCACAGTTCTAGCACCCAGAGAAATAAACAGAATTTGGGGGTTTTGCTGTCAATTGGGTTGATTGTTGTGAGAATTAAAAAAAAAAATCTCTATCTCCAGCTTTACAAATTTTTAAACCGTTGTTAAGTACACGGTTCAGTAGTTTTACCTCTGTTCATATTGTTGTACGGCAGATCTCTAGAATTTTTTCATCTTGCAAAACTGAAACTTTATATTTTAAACAACTCCCCACTTGCCCCTCCCCCAACCCTTGGCACCCATGTCTCTGTAAGTCCGACTTTCTGACACTGCATAAATAAGACTCACCTAGTATTTGTCCGTTTGTGTCTGGCTTATTTCACTTAGCATAACATCCTCACTTAACCTAGCTGTGGAGTGATGAGAACAGAGGTTGAGGAGCACCAGGGACCTGGGCAGTGGCCCCCTTGGAAGGCATATGCATCTGGACAGCTACCACAGACACCGTTGTTGGGGTTTTTGGAGTCTGTGGGTTTAGAGTTAGTGCGGGTCCTTGGGGTCACTCTGGGAGCTCCCGTTTCAGCTGCTGCCCTGCAGAGGGAGAAAGTTGGTGAAAAGAGGCACCTGCATAGTCACAGGTGGGCAGACGGAGTGCGGCCCTGAGCCTGTGCAGACACTGAACTGATATAGTCTTCTGTTTGGGAGGGGTCACTCCTTGTGAGCTGGACAGTTGGTTGCTAATTTTGGATAACTACATAGAATTTGAAAGAGACTGGAGATTCTACAATGGGCTCAATCTCCATACCTTTACCTTTGGATGCACCCTCGGATACCTACTTGGATGTTATGCTTTGTAATCTAGGCATCTGCGCCTAAGGATACTAGTCTGTGCCTAAGGATACTAGTTTTCGCAACTATGTCATCTGCACCTAAGGATCTTGGTTTCCATAGCTGTGTCAATGGCTGTGCTAATCTCTTCTACTCCCACCTCCTTGTGAGCCAGGTTTCTGGTCTTGTGTGCACCTCCTTTTCAGTTTTGTTTTGTTTTGTTTTTTCTATTCTTGTCCTCCATCACCATGACTGGCCCTCCTGCCAGACTCAGGCCTGTGGTGTGCTGAGTTGGCTAATCCCAGCTTTGTGAGATCCTTGCCAGCCAGTTGCTAACCAGTAGGGGCTGGAAGTGAGCCATGGTGCAAGTATTTATACCATGGAAATCTACAAATTCTGCACATCAGGGCTTTGGCGTTTTGAAGAGTTGGCTTACCAGCATACTCAAATTGGGAAATTCAAGGAGGTTTTAGGAACTAGTCATAATGATGTGGCCTGGAGTAAGGAAGCACAAGGAATAGTATAGTACCCTGGGGGCTAGCAATGGGAGGTCGAGCACTGTGCAGTATGCTGTAGCTGTCCAGTATCAGACAGAAAGGATTTCCTTAAGAAGAAACCCAAGCCCAAAATCCTCAGGGGGAGCTGGGGATTGAAGAACCAACTTCTTGTCCTGAAACCTTTCTGCTCTCCTGAATCCCATGGTGGGAGCCTGGGCTCCTGTGGTCAACCTCCTGCACAGAGAACATCAGGAGAGCGATGTATATAGTCCTCTCCCTTAGGTGGCCTCAGGGCAGGAGAACTCACTAGGGGGGTCACGGCAGGGAGTGATTGAGCATATGGAGTCCCCCTGCAGCCCCTCAGCAATATCTGTGGGATCTGAAAGGGGGCCCAAAGCATTTCTATATCAAAACAAATGCTGCTCATTTCTAGCCCCTGACTGATAAGAGCTGAAAAATCTCCGGTGATGTAAACAATGCTGTATTAAAATTCTTTGCATATAATTTCTGCACATTTCTGAATAGTTTCCTAGAATAAAGGTCAGACTTCTAAGCAAACATTCTAGAGCAAAATTTTGAAGTAAATACATTTTGAAGATTTTGATACTGTTGTACATTTTTCCCAGAATATCTGTATCAATTAATAAATGTGTGTATATAGTAGGTATATAGTAGTGACTGATTCTACATGTCTTTACCAATATTCCCCACTATTAAATTTAGAAGTAGTTGCCTAGTGGCTAGGTGAAAAATCTTTTTTCTTAGCTCAAACTCACAAATTTGCTTTGCTTAAATTACCAACATTGAACAGTTTTTCCTGAACTTTCTGGAAATGAAATATTTAATTTAACTTTCTTTCCTGAATGATTCCAAGGAAGAACACATATAAAAGCAAAACTGCCCCATGCTTAGCTTGTAACAAGCTCTTGTTTATGATTCATTCTTCACTCAGTCACTGGGCACATGTTCACTGCATGCCTACGGCATATGATCAGTGTGAACAAATAGTCCCTGCTCCTGACTTCTTCCACTTTCCTTTCTCTATGGCCAGATTCAGGGCTTCCATTTGCATCAGCTACTCTCAGTGCTGCCTGTGAGGACAAGGTCCAATGACTAAGTGCTTCCCCTTGCCATTCTATCTGCTGGCCTGCATTGCAGGGGCTTCCAGGCAATAAAGAGGGTATTCCCAGCCCTTTGCTGTCAAAAGCCCTTAGAGATCACCTAGGTCAGTTACTTGCTTTCAGCATGAATAAGGTTTTCTATTTACACATTAATATTGGCAAGTCATATTGAATCTGATCAGTGCAAAAAAAGAAGATGCAACCAAAGGCCAACATCCTGCGGAAACCACTGTCAAAATATTGGTGGATTGCGTTCTAAAGATAGATACAACTGCTTTCTAAATGTAAATTTAGGAATATATTGGATAGTTTTGAATATGTTTTTATTTTGAATAGAAACACTTTCTTATTTAAGTAGTATTATATTATAAGATGTTATTTCTTGGGTATCATATACCCAAGTTCATCATGCTGATTTGCTGTAGCATGTATATTTTCCTATTAGGAGACGTTTAGGCTGTTTTCAAGGTTTTGTTATTACTCTCCATTCTCCAGTGATTATCTTTGAACATAACTCTTTGCTCACTTTTCTGACTCTTTTCTTCCATTAGATTGCTAACAATCTTTTAAAAGTTTCAGTCCCCTTTCTTTTCCCAAAAGCAAAGGACCATCTGGTAAGATAAGAACTTCCCTTTTATTGGTGAGTTATCTGAGCTCTGAGAAGCAATGTGACTTACCCAAAGCCACACAGCTTTGATGGAGCAGAGATTGGAAGTAAGGTCTATCTCTACAGCCTCTGATGAGTTTCAGAATGTGGCCTCCTGAGACACCCAGGAGGTATTCTTGCCTTACTCCTCTACTGTAGGTACTTCTCTTCTGATAAGGATAATTCTCAGCTATCCAAACATTAATGCATGTCATATACTCTATTTAAAGTACTGAGAATATAGTACATCATTTGCTCCTGGCAAATGAAGTAAGTACTATAATTTTCCTCATTTCATAGATGGGGACCCTAAGGGGAGACAGATTTATTTGTCCAAGATCACAACACTGGTACCTTAGAGAGCTGAAGCTCCTTCCTACCTGTTTTTGTCTAAGCGTTGTTCCAATAGAACTTTCTGTGCTGATGCTTTTGTTTATAAATTTGAGCTGTCCACTATGGTGACCACTAGTGACAGATGACTATTTTATTTTTTAAAGATTTATTTTTTTTTTTATACAAGCACTGGGTACAGTCAGAAGCACGGGAGGGTGAGAGAAATCACCAGAGCCAGAGGGGAGAGCAGAGCAGGCAGACTGACGAAGTGCACTGCTGAGGGGAGCAGCAGGTGGCAGGAGAGGTCTGTGCGCCATGTGGGACCCTCGCCTGGCGGGCGGGGATCAAACCGGCGTTGCAGATGCTGTGGGCAGCTTCGCAGCCTAGCATTCAACCACTGTACCACCAGGGAGGCCCTAGTGGCAGATGACTTTTGAGCACTTGTAAAATGACTAGTAAGAATGGAGAACAAAATTTTTATTTTTATTTAAATTAATTTAAATAACTATACATGGCTGGATGATTACCTTATTGGACTGACATCTCCAGGGGGCAAGCTTCTTGCCACTCTACTGCCAAGGCATTGCCTTTCTGTTTAATACAAGCAAGGCCTGGGCGGCCTCTCCTAACACCCTCTGGACCTCAGCCTAAGGAGGGACTCAGAATGGACTTCCTGAAGCTCCTTGCCACCTGTTAATGGCACTCTGAGCCAGGACCCCAGAAAGAAGATAGCCCTTGTGATTTGGCCTGGATCTTGGGCTGCCTGAAGATTCTGGTTGGGGGCAGGGGCACAGGCCCCAGGGAGGCTTTTTAATTCTTTTTGTTACCTATTAATGAAAATGTATATCTGCCATCCATAAATAATAAGATTGTTCCTGCAGAGCTCAATGTCTGCATTTATACTTGGTGCAAATGTTATAGGACAGGGAGAGGGGCACCCCAGACCCCGCAAACCTGCCCGTTCTAAATCGGTTCTGCCATCCACCATATCAACACAAAACATATGAGACTTTAATGGGAAGGAACTGTAATACAATTAGGAAACAATACAGGAAAGGCAAAGAATATAGTTTCTAAATCAAGTACCCAAAGTTACCTGTCCCCTCATGGGTAAAAGTCCACCCTAGCAGGATTGGCCCAGAGCAAGATCCCAAAGCCTGCCACAAGTCTAAAGCATCTTCCATTGGGGACCCACAGGAAAGGGTCAGAAATAACCAGACAAGTCTGGAAGGAAAAGAGCAAAATCAAAATCAAGACAAAAACTGCCATTGTCACCTCTCCACGGATCTCTCACCCACATCTGTGTCAACCAGTCCACGACCAAAAGGCAAGTGTAGTTTCTTCACTCGTCTCTCAGCTCCATGAGCCCCCTCCAGGTCTCCTC